GAGAGAATTGTAAAATTTACACACAAAAATGAGATTTTAAGTTTCAATATTATATTTTATATTTATATCGTTATGCCAAAATAATTTCACGTAAACGTCATTTGTTACTGCAAAATATTTCCGCTTTCAGGGGAGCTTAATGGATTTTATTCAATTTTGCGAACGGTTGCATGCAAAATATGACGTGGCGCGTTTATACAGAATCGACCGGCGAGTGATACGCGAATAGAGAGCAATCAACCTGGCATATTGATAGTCTCTCAGGGATGCATGGAGTTTCGCGATGGATGCTCAGTGTTTACAGGGAAAAATTCGATGCTTTCCATTAAAGGAGGGTGCACGTGAAATGCGGTCCACTCGCGTTCCAACAGTTTCCCCCTTTTCACGCATCAGAAGCATTTTGCGTGTAACGTAAGAGCTCGTTAAACACAATAAAAAAAAAAAAAGAAAACTGATGAAGTGGCTGTGTTTTCTGTTAACGTAGCGCGTATCAATTTACATTTACGAAAGCCGATAATATATACGCGATAAACTGAAGTACCTCGAAAAATGCTTTGAAAAAGTTGAAAGCTTCCAAGCTTGGCAAATAATAGAGTTAATCCATTTTCCGGGCGCTGCGATTAAGTTCATTCCCCGTCTAACGAGAAAACGACGCAATCTTCGGAAAGTTGGAAGGAACCGAACGGCGACTGCTATACCGCGGCCGGCTTCTTTCAATCTCCATCGAAGCGATTCGACGGTTTAATCAATCGCACTTGGCGCAATTAAATTTCTTTAACGAGGCTGGCAGTTCTGGAAAATTAACGGAGCCCAACTCGCTGGCCGCATAGATTAAAATCGCTTGTTCTACGTGAATAAAGGTCTCTCTATATTCTCTCTCGCCATTACCATTACCACCCTTTCTCTTCCTCTCTATCTCTCGCATCTTTGTTAAAATCACCCCCTGTTCGCACCGAATATCAGAGCCGCCACCGCGGTCTCCGCAATATCGTAAGTAATTAAACAATTTGCCTACAGATGGAGTTTTTAGCCGAAGCATTTCACGCTTACTGCCATTCGGCGCGGCCCGACCCGCTCTCTCATCACTATGCATAACCACATTGCTCCTATATTAAAGCGTCCGGGCATCGCGACGCTAAAATGCTCGTGTGATTAAAAATGCTGTCGCGGAAATTCCGACATCAGCAGAATGTCAGACATGACCGCCCCCGGGAGTAGCGACGGCTGGGGCCCTTTACAACGTTCTCGCACGTCGACAACCTGTCGCGCGCGCTTGCACGCACCCAGAAAGCTCTCCACGCTCCGGTAATTAATCGCGGAAAGCGAGAAGTAAACGAGAGAGAGAGAGGGAGAATCGGTAAAGGGTGAATCGCGCGTACATCCTGTTTCGGCTTTGGTAATTTCGTCCGTTTGATGTAAGCTATAAATAAACCGCTTGTGCGTGCGTACGTGGTCAATGCGGTCGGACCGTGCAAAGGGGAACTATTCTTCGGCAAGATCGGTCATCGCATTCAGTGAAAAGCATGATCATGATCGTTTATTTCCTCCATTTTAGGAATAGATAGTCGCAATGCGTACGATGTCCTCTGTGCACGTCTTGTTGAAATAAAAGGAAACAAACAAGTCGCTTCCCTGCACCGTTAATTTTATTACCCGATTTTACACTCCGTTTTCGCAAATTAATCATCTATATTTAATGCTCCGAAAGGGAAAAACATGCGCGCACTGCAACATCCATTATGCATGTGGCGATTTTCGTTTAGTTAAAACTTTTTGCGACACATTCTGTGGAGAGGAACGACGGGTAGGTTAAATTCACCGGCGGAAGAAAATCCTGTGACGAAACATCACCCTCGTCGTCGCGGACGTTGAAACGGGATAGAAGAGGAAAGGATAAAGTTTTTTTTTTTCGTCTAACCTGTCGTACGGCAGTTAGCGTCCAACCACGAATGCTAAGCCTTACTACAAAACATCGCGTTATATAGGGTACGCCTTTTCCAGCGCTATCTGAATCTTTATGGGGCGGCTTAAATTACGGGGGTAAATAGTAAGGGCTGGCTTGGCTAGTCGTAATGGCAATGTCCGGACCGTCGTGTCACTTACCACCCCTCATCGCTGCCTACCACCGTCCACCGGAAAGGGTGGTACAATTCGCATGTAAATCGCAAGTACATTCTTGTCGACGTTGTGCGACGTTGAAAGAAGATAAGGGGCGACGACCGTGCTAGGGACGTCTTCTGAATGTCGCCCGTCTGTTCGCGAGATCTATTAATTCTCTATAATGCTGACATTCTCACTTCCGAGATAGAGTATCATTTTTCACATGATCTCTCGTTAACGTAAAAACTTAAGGATGCGTACAATGCGCGGTATGATACATCAAATTCGTCGTTAATTAATACATTAATAATATCGCAGTAAGTAAATTGTTAGTAACAAATTTGATCATTTTACTGTTAATTTGTTAACATTTGACTATCTGAGACATAAATAATGCGCATTGATAGTGTTAGGAATATTTTGCATAATGTATGGAAATAAAAAGAGCATGACAAATTAATAATTTCGCAAGAATGCAAATATCGTTTTTTTCCCAGCTTGATTAACTCTTGTCTGCGACGCGGAATTTATTCACGTCGTGTTATCAACACATTAGTATAATCGTGTCTCGACGGCGCGCTCTATCGCTACAACTTCCCGGACTGTTATGCGTGCTTCGCGTCATTCCGTCAAACGCGTCGCGGTGCCGCTGTGGAAGGTTTAAAAAAATAATTTACAACCCTTGAGAGATATAAAGCCTCGCGCTTGTATCAGTTACACGGTCTAGTGAAAAAGCGCACATCTGACATGACAAAGAACCGCAGAAAAATGTTTCTGTTGTCGGCTAAGATAAAAAGGGAGACAAGAAAACGTTAGCAGCGGGTTTCTTACAACCCTTTAACACGAAGGTATCGGTTGGTCGTGACAATACAACGGTGACCATAATAACAGTCGTGTGTACTGTTCTCTCAATCTTTTTAGGCCTACTGTGCGCTCGACGCTAAATAAAGAGATATTAAAATAACGTACGAATAGAGAGAAACACGGAAGAAATTTTATTGGAAATTTTAATATTCAAGCTTTGTAGTTTCAAAGGAGCATCTCATATATGCTAATATTTCTCTTGTAATTTAATTCGATTCAATATGTCCCTGCATGAGACGTCGTCTCCCTAATCCGTGTAATTGCAAATTTTCCTTAATCTCAACAAAATAAAATGTGATTGAAATTTACCAATCGCGCTTTGCTATTCAATAAAGTCTACTTCGAAAGAGATCAAAGGAACCGCTTTCAATGGAACGTCATGAACCACCTTGGAAACATTATATACCTATAAAAATCTCAGACGACACAAAGATGAAGTCCCGAGGGGATCTGGTTTCTCTTGGAAAATATCCCATCTCGATGAAGTCTGCTTTTGACGATTTGTTATACTTAACATCGTGTGATTTATACGCCGCAATCCTCAAACTTTTACCTTTCGCTTCACAACTGATTAATCGAGTACAAAAGAAAAAGATGACTCGACACAAATCCATATTGTATTGTACAGAACAGAGGAAACAAAAGAATCGGGAATTATTTACATTCGTTGATTATTTGACGAATAATAAGTCACAAGAAAAATATGAAGTGACCGGAGGGAAAATGACGAACTAAAACGCGACGGCTGATGCGCGTTTTAGTGCAATTACCGGCCGGTGACCAAAGCAGATCAAAAGGGAATTGATCACACGGAATATGTTATAGACGTTTGCGGACCGTACGACTCCGCGCGCGTACGATAGTCTCTATGAATATCGCAGCGGAGCGCAACGTAACCATGCCCACGGCTACGAGCCCGTTCAATCTTTTCAGCGGAGGACATACGCGGTCCGTAAACAGAGCTTTAATTTTCCTGTGCAAATACAAGCTCGACAACGTTCGCGTATACTGCGTATTTCTGACTTTGTCCATCAGCATGCATCATTAATATCCTTTTTCCGTATTAATATCTCACTGAAATGGATAATTAAAGCCGCGCC